AAGCAGAACAGAGGGAGGGAGAAGAGGAGAAATGAAAAATGGAGAGTGATGGTGTTAGGGGGAAGAGCTGACTTTGGAGTACAAGAAGAGACTGGATGCACAAGGGCTGGAGCTGGTTGATTCCCTAAGTGCCCATAAGAGCTGATGCTGGGCCAGGCTGAAGCCAGGAGCCTAGAGACCCTAATTCAGTTTGGGACCCAACTACTTAAGCCATCACTACTGCTACCCAGAGTACACATTAGCAGGAAGCTGAAATCAGGAGTGGAGCCAGGAGTCAAACACAAGTATTCCCATATGGGATCAGGGTATCCATCCCAAGACATGGCTTACCCCTAAGGCCCAATGCCCACTCCTCTAATTTTTATAGGTTCCATCTTCCTAATAGTTCCTGAGTCTTCCCCTGTCTCATCTGATGTCTCTACCATAGCTTGGCTTCATACCTCCTAGAAAGATACTCACAATTAGGTTGTCAAAACTTGCATTTCTGATTTCATTTCTCTCTGCAGATCCATTCTACACATTGCCTTCAGTATCCTTATCTTCTACTTGACTCTCTTTACACAACAACTGGATCTTCAGTAAATCTGCAGTTGCTAGTTACGGAGGGTGAAATGAATACCTGGGATCCCAAAATGATGGTTTATTTCAAAGTGTTCCTTTACCAAGAACAAGTGAAGGAAACTGGCAAATAAGAGGTTAACAAATATTTAAAAGATTTAACTACTTATTTGAAAGGCAGAGTGAGAGAGAGAGAGAGGGAGAGAGAGTATTTCATCTATCGGTTCACTCCCCAAATGTCTCTGGGGCCAGGCTGAAGCCAGGAACTCCATCCTGGTTTCCCATGTGTGTGTCAGAGCCCAAGCACTCAGGCCATCTTCTGCTGCTTCCCAGGTACATTAGCAGGGAGCTGGGTGGGAAGTGAAACTGGAGCAGCTGGGATTCGAACAGCTCTCCTTTGTGATGCTGGTGTTGCAGGTGGAAGCATAACCTGCTGTGCCATGACTCTGGCCCCTCAACAAATATTTAGAGGATAAAAAGCCTGTGAAAGCACAAAGGGAACAGGGGTGGCCACAGAGAGTAGAAGAGGTAGCTGCAACAGAAGAAGGGGTAATTCACTAGCAGAACCTCTGAGGGGCTGTGGACTCAGGAGGGGGCAGATGAGAGAGAGAGAGAGAGAGAGAAACTGTCTCTATATCCTCTCCCTACTACCCATCCCCTACCTAAATTAGAGTTCAGACAATCCAAATTTAACCCCCAGGGTGTTGGGGACCTTGGATGGGATCGCCTCTGAAATACTAAACAAAATTCTGGATAATGCTAAAGTGTCATAGGTGGGTGTTACGATTCCTGAGAAAATATCCTCATTCTTGCAAATGAGGGCCCATACCCTAATGTAGCCCTTTTCCAACTCAGTCTTGAGTGATGAACAATGGCAAGACCCTATATAGCAACAGAACTCTAACTAATACAGTCATAGTCCATAAGTCAGCCTACTATCTATGACTCAGATCTGTGGACAGTCAGGACTTCTATCTCTAGCAACTTTATCTATAGCCCAGGAAATCAAACAACCCCTCTAACAATCAGCCCCAAATAGCTAGGACTTGATTAATAACTGTTAGATCCTCCAATTTTATCTAATTTAGGACCAACTAGAGAAAGCCAAATACACACCCTTAGCAGTCCCTTAGGAGCCTTGCTTCCAGTGAGCTCACCTCCAGCTTCCCCTGCCAACGGCTCCCATTCAGAGCACATCCGAAGCCTTCCCTTTTTCTACTTGACAGATTTCCCACTGCTCTGCCTGCCTTTGAGTCAAACACGAGTGATGGTGGTCGTCTCCCTTGCAGGCTCTGAGTGAATAGGCTTTGCTCATTCTCCTTCGGTGGTCTTCAAAGGTTGAAGCAAAGTCTTGCAGCCAACAAACCCACTCCCTACACCCAGACTTTCTCCTTTTCAGGGAAAATGACTGACACACACATTCATGGCTGTGGACAAAACTCACACAAGTTCATGGAAAAATCCACCCAGCCCCTCATTCTTAAATACAGCCAGCCAGCCAAAGTCACTAGACTCAGAGAAAAACAGAACATGCAGCAGAAGATCAACAGAACAGACTGACCTTGGAGAAAACACATCATTCAGAGACTAGAAATTGACTAAAAAAATTTTTTTAAAATTAGATCGTCAGTGATATTTCAGAAGATATTACATCCATAAAACCAAAAACAGCAGGCTGTGAAAAACATGGGAAGAAAATAAAAATCTCCTGGAAATTAAAAGTAGATTGCCAAAATTAAAAAGATTGGAAGATTAAATTGAGGAATTAACAGCAAGCAAAAAGGCAGGAAAGTGAAGCCACCTCTGGTAACTTTTCTTGTAGCTAAATCCAGAAATGTTTAGAAGGGGTGCCTCTAGGTGGGAGCCCTGGAATCTAGGGCTGGGCTGGCTGGTGCTCTGTTGTTTTGGATCAGAAGTCCTTTGACCTGTGTATTTTAGTCTCGTGCTTGGGTCCTTCAGATCCAAACACATAATCCAACCACAAATCTGACAGCTCCACTCCATGGCCGAAAACCCATCATTTCTCTCAAACACATCAAGATTACACTCAGTCTCTTTCCTGACAATGACTTATAGCCATTCTGCCCCTTTTCTCCTCACCCCCACTTCTGCTTTAGTTCCACTCAACTACCTACGAGGCTGCTCAGTGTAGGCTTTGGAGTTGGGGCTATGGGGCACACTTAGCTGGCTTCAAATCTACTTATGCTTGTCACCTAATATGAAAAAAGGGGTAGGAAAATTGTCAAGTTTCTTATGAGGATCAAATGAGCTCACATATTGTGTGCTTCACAGAGTCCCTGGGCATCCAGTAATAGTAATAATAGGTAGCAGTTATTAGGGATCCCACAACCAGCCAATTTTAACCCTACTTGGGATACTTTATTTATTTGAAAACAGAAAGAGAGGGAGGAGGAGGGGAGAGAGAGATCTTCTACCTGCTGGTTCATTCTCCAGCTGCTCATCACAACTGCTGGGAGCTGAGCCACACCAAAGCCAGAAGCTTGGAATTTAATCAAGGTCTCCCGTGCAGGTGGCAGGGACCCGTGTATTTAAGCCTCCCCGGGTGTGCATTTGCAGGAGGCTGGATCTGGAGTGGAGCCAGGATGGGATGCAGGCATCTCAAGCAGCATCCTAACTGCCAGGCCAATGCCCACCCCTCATCTTCTATATCTATGCCTAAAACCACTGGAAAGACATCATTAAACCACTTTTCTACCAAGCATACACCCTCAGACGCTTTATTCAGTCCTTAATTCTTAAGAGATTTTACCTACAGTATTTTTGAAGGCACAGTTGGTTAAGAGCCATGGAAGTTCCTGCTTCCTGTGGGTCGTACTTTGGAACCTCAGCTGGTTTGTGACTAGGGTTTCCTTCCTGTTCTCAGTGGGTCTTGAGCCTCACCCTTTGTGAGGCCTTCTCAGGACCTGATCTCTCTCTCACACACACAGCTTTGTTCCCCCTGCTGCTGTCTGTCTTCAACCCAGACCCTGAGCACCACACTTGGAAGGACTGTTTGCTTTACTTTTGTGCCTGGAGCGCCTGCCTGTGACACGGTAGTGAATGAGCATATGCCAGGCAGGTGAAGAATGGAGGCCGAGTTTCACTGTTGAGCAGGGCTTGCTAGTGAAGTGACACCTTGACAGTAGGGACTCCATTGTGGAGAACCTGAGACTCCATTCTGGGAAGGTGCCCCCCACACCATGAGACTCTGGTCTGAAATTATGATCTAAAACAGTTGAATAATAGCAGTCCACTACATCACACTTGGCAGAGCATAGAAACCCCCTAGCATGATCACTCAAGCTTGGAAGTGGATAGGCTGCACCTGGGTTAATGAAAAATGTAATTTGTTTATGTCCTACTTATGATTAAAACCAATACCTGGATTAATGTCAAGATTAAAATTAAGATTATAATGGTATTGTCAAATAATTGATACTAATTTCATATAGGTTTTAGGTCAGCTTGACCTAAAATATAGTAACCATGTATTCTCCCGATTTTGCAGTTTTTGCCTTTATAAACCCTATTACTTTGGGCTTTGGGGTCGAGGTTCTTTAGGGCATGAGCCGGCTCCCCAGCAAATTTTATCAATGTGTAGTGCTCCTTTGTTTACACTTGCTCAGGTACAACACTAGGACCTGATAAGAGCACACAATTGTTAACAAAGCCGAAGAACTTGAGCACAGTCATGCTTGCCCTCTTTGCCAAAAGGGAACGTCACAGGAAGGCACTCTGATGCGGGAAGCTGTCCGGCTTTAGGCTCCAGGAGGTTCCGAGAGGGCAGGTCGGCTGCCTGTCCCACAACGAGGACTCCGCCACTTCTCCAGTTTAGCTCTCATACTTCTGTCTCATGGCACTGCCTCGGAAGACAACTGAATCCTGAAGCAAGAAACTGACTTTGCCTTTTCTTCATTTTTTGTAATGCATTAAGTCATCTGGCTCAAACACCTCATCACTCTCAGCAGAGAGAGAGAGAGGAGAGGGAAAGAGAGAGAGAGAGAGAGAGAGAGAGAGAGAAAGATATTCTTCCATGAAGGTCAAAGGACTGGCCTAAAGTAACACAGAGAAGTGGCAAGGCCAGATTAAACTGTTTCCAAATTCCAGCCCAGCGAGTTGTGACTCTAGGGTAAGAGGTAGGGGTTAAAGAGGAAAGGCAAACCTGAAAGAGGGCGAGATATATGCCTCAATTTTGGAATCCAACAGATGATGGATGCCCTATCCCTGGGTCTCTTGTGCAGTGCATCACTTATTGAAGAAAAAGAGGCAGTGTTGAAATGAGTCCCATGAGAGAGGTGCTGCTGGCTGAGTGGCAGATATTGGGAAGTTCATTATTCTCAGGCACCACCTAACTTGGAGACTTCAGTGCCACAGGTCCACTGACTCCCTCTGCCTGTTGGGTTCCTGTCCACGGAACTAAGACACAGCGGATGACACCCAGGAGAGGCGATTGCTGTTTTATTAGGGAGATCACAGGACAGGAGGCCAGGGCTCTCACCACCACCTTTGAAATGGGAGGAGGAGGGCGTGTATTGGCTAAGAAGGGCCTTGAGTCCTTCACAGCTCCCATCCCCCAGGGCAGGAGAGGGTGGGTCTCCTTGGCATTCCCTGCCTCCAGCTGTCTCCCAGGCCAATCAGGGCAGGGGGTCTCAGAACCAACCACCAGGGCTCGGGCCCCAGCCACTGCCTCTTCAGGAAAGGGCCTGAGGAAGGAGGTGGCCACAGCCTGGCCCATCGCTGGTGGGAGAGGGCAGCGCTGTTAGGGGAGGAACGGCAGGAACAGAGAGAAGCCCACAAGGGTGGAGGGGAGCTTCCAGGCTGGGGCAGGGCTGGCGAAGAGGCGGGCCACAGCCACATTGGGGTTGCCCTGTGCAGGCTCGAACCACTTCTGAAGACACCGTCCACTGCCCTGGTGCTCCGGGCTTGCCTTGAAGGTGTTGTTCCAAATCTTCTCACACAGGTCAGCTGGGGTGGGGAAGTAGTGGGGGAACGGGCGGCAGGGGGCCTCTGCAGGGCAGCGGTTCCTCCCTGTGGGGGAATTGAGGGCGGATAACTTCTCCCTGGCTCCTCTCACCCCTCAGACCCCCATTCTCTGCCCTGGGGGAACACAGGGAATCTTGCACCTGCCACTCACCCCGACTCCAGTCCCAGCCGCCATGCCAGTTGGATTTGCAAGTGTATGACGTGCGGCAGTCTTCCCACCACTGCTCACAGTCCTCGTGGCACAGTGGCACGTCCATAGCTCGCTGCTCTGGCCCACTGGGGTCCACCTGGGTGGGGCACAGTGAGACAAGAAGGTTAATCACAACCATGGAAGACTACTCATGGCTGCATGTTACACAGGCCAGGTACCATCTGAATATCATCTTATAGTCGCCAAGTATTATTTTGCAAAAAGATATGAGGTTAAGTGGCTAAGTAGTTTGCTCCCCGCTATTCAGCTAATAGATACAGAGGATAGGATTCAAACTCAGGCCCATATAATTCCCCAGAGCCTCCCTCAGTGACAGTCCCTCATCCTTCTGGCCAGCTTCCCCCATGCAGTTCCCCAGGACTGCAGGTGGCTTCCTCTCCATCCCTGCTCTTGTCCACAATGGGGATAGAGTTTCCTGTTTCTATAAGCACCCTGGAGACATCAACATAAGATCAGAGAGAAGCTCGGGCTCTTAGGGTATTGCACAGATCTGTCTCCCATCTACCCACTGGCTGGATCCATGGCCCCAGGTTTGGGGAGCACTCGTAGAAGCAGATGGCTTGGATGAAGTGCCTATGACAGTCTGGGGTCAACAATCCGCAGTGAACGAAGCTGAAGTTGTAGAGCGGGGACACATCCAGGTGAGCTTCCCAGCTCGTAGTGGGTGTGCAGCAGGCGTTGTCCTTCCAGGGCTCGCACTGAGGGTAAGGAAGAAGTAGAAGGCATGGGGAGGAAGAGGCTGGGGTTGGTAAATGTCTAAGGCAGAAGGTAGCAAAGGACAAGCATCCCTTAGGAGAAGACCCGGCAAGTGGGCTGCCATTGGACAAGCAGTGTCCTGTAGAGAATGAATCCTGGCAATCTGTCCATCTTTCCCCACAGGGTAGCAGGTGCGCACACTGCCCTCTCTGCCAGGGGCTGCTGCGATCCTCTATGGACACAGCTCCTAGGAGGTGGAGGAGGCCTTTGGGAGAAGGCAGGTAGGGAGAGGAACCTCAGAGGAAACTGAGGTTGCCTGGGGTGGGAGGGACTCAGACTTAAGTGGCCAGGCCAGGTCCTGAAAGTGCCTTTAGGAGCTGGGGGAGGGGCCCCTTAACTCATATGTTTCTCATGGCCTGATGGTAGGAAAGCTGGTTTGAATCTGTGCTCAACCAGCTACGGGCCTCTGAGATCACCATTCAAATCCCTCTTCCAGCCACCACAGCAACACAGAGATGGGAGACTTATGACCTCACTCAACTCTTAAGGTCTCAAAGTGGCATAGTCTCCATTCGGTTGGCTTTGCTCAATTCCCAACCCAAGAAATCAGATGATCAGGATTGATGGGGACCAGAGACTACCTCAGCATCGGTGTCCCTTCCCTGACCCTTCAAAGAAGCACCCACTGCCACCCCTCTGGTCCCTACCGTACCTCTACATAGAGCTCATCTTCTGGGCCCGGCTCCCTCTTGTGGTGTTTGGCATTCATGCAGACATTGAGCAGCTTGTCCCCTGTTCCCGTGGGCAGGACCGTCCACAATCCTAGCAGGAGCCACCACCACCGCTGCATGACAGAGCTCTGCTGTGGAGAGAGACCCATGCAGCTCAGGCAATGGGGTGGACGCCCCTGCCCACCCCCCTTCTCCACCATAGCAGGTGCTGCAGAGGGAGCACGGGCTCTGAGGCTCCCACAGTGGTGTCTACACCCCGGCTGGTACCCAAGTGTTCTGTCAGGGGTACATCATGGGCTATCAGAGCAGGTGAACGATGATTAGGTACCTGACACCCCCACCTCCAGCCACTGGATTAATGCAGAGACTGATACAGGGAGGGAGCAAGCGACCAGCTCTTAGGAGAGGGCCAGGGGAGGATGGTTCCAGTCTTCCCTGGGGGAATGGTTCCTAGCTCTTCTCCCCTGGGAAAGAAATAGCCCGACTCAGTGACACATGGGCTGGGAACTCAGAGCTTTGACTCTAGCCTGAGAACTGCCCCACCCCGCTGTGCTGGCTGAGGAACTGAACAAATACTCAGTCCCCAGATTCTCCTTGGGACCAGAGAGCACGGTGGGGCCTGGGAGTGTGGCCAAGGCCATTCTTACCTGGCCAAGTGCCCAGCCTAACTTCATAGAACGGTAGCTCTATTTCTGCCAGCCTCAACCCATCTCAAACCTGTGGCCGTGGTGACCTCTCAGAGTCAGGGGTGAGGGGCCCTCCATGTGCCAAACCCAACCCTTGGCACAGCCATGGGGAGGGTGGCTTCCCCCTGGGTGTTGGTTGAGCACTAGATTCCAAGCCTGGCCTGGGTAGTACTGAAAGCAGGGGGAGTGGAATGAGACCCCTCTCCCTCCAGAAAAAGGCAAAGGAGTACTCTGTCTCATGCTCCCAAGCCTTTAGGAAACAGGGTTCTTGGCCCTCACCAGGCAGGAGCCCAAGGCCTGAAAGGGGGCTTGCCTGGACCCATCCCAGTGAAGCCAAAATCTCATGAGCTCACCCGAGTTTAGAGCCACACACATCCTGGGACTGGAGACCTCATCTGAGCCCACCCTCGAGTCTGCCCCTAAGACAATTTCAAGCCTGAATGTGGCCACTGCATATTTTAAAGCAATAGGCGTGTTGGGGGAAATGAGGAAAGATCCTGTCCCACCAGTATGCATGGTCATACTCACTTTCAAAGCAGGGGCCTGCAGAAACTCCCTGCCGGACCAGAGACTGGCAGCGAGGCCCCAGGCACGGCACGGTCCACCCATTTATCACCCAATCCTGCTTATACGAGGCGCAGGTGTGGGTGCAGGTGCAGCGCTCAGGTGGCTGCAGTTAAGCCGCGCCTGTCTTCCTCATTCCGCATGCCCCCCATGGGTTCTCAGAGACTTGGCTTCTGCAGGAACACAGGGTCCTCACAGTAGGTGAGATCCGGGCTCCTGCATGAGCCACTGAGCTTTGCTCTCCGCTCTGCAGCTCAGCAGCTGGCGAAAATTCCCCAAGACACTTGGCAGGCAGACTCTCCAGTTTCCATGAGCAAAAGGGAGTTGTTACAACAGGATTTGCGGGAAAAAGAGACCCCAGGGGAAGTTCATGAGAGGACTTGGCGGGATCCCTGGCGCAGAGTAAGTCTTGGGGGTTTTTACTCTTGTTCTCTTAGTTGTAACCTTTTTACCCTCTGTGGTTTGGGGAGTTGAGTTTCCTGCTGGAGAGCAGGAGGCAGGGCTGAAGTGTGGCTGTGGGAGTTCCACGCGTGCCCACAGCCTCCCCACAACCCACAGGATGGCCTCGCTCAGCACCCGGGGCCGCGCTCCTGGGAGACAGTCTGGGCGTCACGTTCACCAGGATGTCCTTCGCTGGGCTGGGAAAGCTGCACAGGGCTCGTTGGAGGGTCCCAGAGAGGAGAGCAGCACTGGGAACGGAGCCCGTTCCTTTGCTCCTTCCTCCCGGGTTCCCTCTCCGAAGGAGAAGTAGCAGAAATCGCTGGTGTCTGATGGAGAGACAGGAAATGAAAACAAAACACTTGAGAGCATTTTTAATTAAAAAAAAGCACCTTGGATGTTCACACAGCTGATGTGCAAAACATGTATTAGTCACATTTTAAAGTTAATGTTAGGTTTTACATTAATGCCATTTTCTACACCTGAGAAATCATAGCTACCAATGAGGGCCCAGGCCCTGGGCTGGTGCCCTGGTGCCCGTGCACCCCCAGAGTGAACCTCCTCCCTGTGTAGCTGTGGGGAAACTGAGGCTCAGTGGGAGGGGTGTCAGAGCTGGAGTCTGAACTGGGGTAAATGTGACCCCACATCTGCTTAAGAACCAGCTGAAGGGAAACATCAGGAGGCCTACGCGGGCAACTTTTGCTGGGGTCTCAGGTGAAGTTGCTTTTATGAAGTCAAATCTAAAATCAGCTCCTGTGTGCCGGGAGGGGAGGGCTGGCTTCACTCGGGAGTGGTGCCAGTCACCAGCCCAGCCCGCAGGTGCCTGCCTTAACCAGCGCTGGGGGCCTCCTCCATGGGGTTGGGTACCCAATGGTAGCAGCATGTCTACAGCAAGGGCACCCCCCTCCCCATGTTCCTTTCACTTCTCCCCGAATCTTCTGGAAGCTCTAGCCTTGAAGGGCTGACAGATTCCAGGTTTAATGCTGAGCGTTAAATGGCAGTGGATGTGGCGGAGCGAGAAGCCAGAGTGAATCACAGAAGTTAATTACCATCACGGAAAACAGGTCGTCTGAGACCCGTGCTTCACGTGGCGGGATACGGCTGAGGAGGAGTGCTCGCGGCCACAGGACAAAGCTGTAGGAAATGAGGAGAAATTACAGGGCGGCAGCTGCTGGTGGAGGCAGGGCTGCCCGGGGAATTAGCAAGGCTGCCTCTCGGAGAACCACCAGGCCACCTGGCATCTGCTCCCTGGACGCACAGTTTGCAGCCCTTGAGCAAAGCTCGTTTTGCCTCATTGTGACTCAGAAACCTGTTTTCTGACTGAAAACTGATAATCAAAGCTGGCTGTGGTTGAAGCCATTTGAAGCAGCTGATCCACAACGATTCTAAACAACAACAACGAAACAGATGGTTTCGCCAAGGGAGAAGGTTCAGGGCCACTCAGAGGGTTCCGAGGGAGGCGAGGAGGATGGGCTGTGGGACGGGGTGGGGAGCAGCTCGGCCTTGGCCATGATCTGAGGCCATGGGCGATGCTGGCTGTAGTGACTTCTCCTGGTCTCCATCCTGAGATTACCGCGGGGCAGAAGCCCACTGAACTCAAGAACAGACTAGCAAGGCTGAGGGCGGCTGCCAGGAATCTCTTGGGAGGCCAGCTGGAGGCTACATTAGTGATTCAGGCTTCTTCCTAGGTCCCGTGAGCCTTTCTTCTCACCTGGAAATCAACGGGCCCGTCCTTGTCTAAACTCTTCATTGGACTGTAGTGAGGTCAGGCAGAACAGGGCTGTTGTGTTTTCTTTTTTCCCCTCCCCATCCACCTGGCGGCCAAGCCTGTGGCCTTTCTGAGTTCACCTGCTTTGTCCTTGTTGCAGCGCCCCCTGCTGTCTAGGCCGTGATTAGCTCTTCAGTCACTGCCCAGCATAGCCTGCTCCCTGCCCCCTTTCCAAGCTGGATCCTGCTGGCAGCCAGGATTGAACTCCCTGTGTTTTCCTAGGAAAGTTTCCCAACGTGAGGAAAGTTGAGAGCATTTTACAGTGAACACCCATATACTCACCACTCAGGTTTTACCACTGTTGTTTTGGTTACATGTTACCTGACCATACTTCCCTCTCTCTTGCCATCAATCTTGTCATTTTTCTTCATTTTGGAGTGGGTTGCAAACAAGTAGGTTACTTCCCAAGTAATTCAAATATGTAGCAGGATACTTCAAAAAGTTTATGTAAAGTGGAGTTAAAAAATATGTTGAAGGGTAGGTATTTGGTATAGCAGTTAAGACCCTGCTTGGGATGGATGCCGGCATCTCTTGCCAGAGTGCATGGATCAAGTCCTGGCTCTGCTTCCGATTCCAAGTTCCTGCTAATGCACACCCTTGGAAGCAGCAGGTGATGGCTCAGGTGGGAGACCTGGTTTGCGTTCCCAGCTCCTGGCTTCAGTCTGGCCCAGACCTCACTGTTGTAAGCACTGCAGGAGTGAACCAGCAGATGGAAGATTGCTCTGTTTCTATCTCTTTTCTTTTCTATCTCTACCTGCCAAGTAAAAAATAAAATTTTAAAAATGATTGATTTATTTTGAAAATTTAAAGAGATTTTTATATCCACTGCTTTACTCTCCAGTTGGCCGCTACCACCAGCATGGGCTAGGCCAAAGCCTGGAGCTTCATCTGGGTCTCCCACATGGGTTGCTGGAGCCCAAGCACTTGGGGCATATTCCATTGCTTTTCCCCAGGCTGTTAGCAGGGAGCTGGATCAGAGTGGAGCAACTGGGACATGAACTGGCGTATATATGGAATGCCAGTGTCATAGGTGGCACTTTTACCTGCTATGCCACAATACCAGCACCAAAAATAGCTTTTTAAGAGAAAAGTTTATTTTGGTGCAAACATTTTTGACCTCCATGCAGTTTTCTCCTAAGGCACATTCGCCATGAACTTTTTGAAGACTCCTCCTACGCACAGGTTTCAACCTTTTCTGCTTCAAGCTATTTTAAAATTCCATTTCCATGAACTTTTTGAAGCACGCTTGCATATCATTAATTGCAATTCAATGTTTGCCATCTCCCACCCCGCTACAATCTTTTAAAAATGTAAAGGTGGTTAGGATAGTCCCATGCTAAAAGCTGTTCTAGACCTTAAGTCCTAATCTGTAACATGTTACCTGTGGCCTTCTTCACCTGGTGCCTACTGACACTTACCTATGCTCTTCTGTCACCTGCCTCCTCCATGCTCCGGACACTGGCAAACGCTGACAGCCTGGGACTGCTCTGTTCCCTTCAGGGGCCCTCTCTGCCAGCGCTGTGTCCTCACACTTGCCCTCTGTGTCGGCGACTCCTGCTTGTCACTGAGCTCTCAGTACAGGTGGTTCCCCCTTAGGGAAGCTTGTGTGGGCCCCTGCAGGTTGGGGAGGTGTTCTCTTGGGGTCTCATGCTGGCTGCCATCCTTG